GTCTTCTTTGTAAACGCTCTCATCTTCTTGAGAGCTATTAGGGTTTTCTTAAGGTTCTGTTTACTTTTCGTGTTCTTGAATAAAGGTTGCTTCAATCGACCATGGTATCAGAGCTCCTTTCGTTCTATATTGGATAGAACGTTGTGTTTTGGTAGTTTTCTGTTGTCTTTGTTGTTGCGAAGAGCGACTGTTTGTCTCTTTAGATCTATGTTCTTCAGATCTGATGGTTCTTGGTCGATCGATCCTTTCTCTAAGTTGCAGATAAGTTTTGTTTACCTTTTATTTTCTCTTCCTTGGATTTCGTTTTCTGCATGTTCTTCTCATCAAAGAACAATGTAGTTTGTGCTCAAGTAATCGATTAGGGTAAGGTTTCTGGTTCTTTGTTCTTTTTCTCTTGGTGTTATACAAGATCTTATAACCAGTCCTCCGTTGTGCGAGGCCCTGTTTTGATTTTGTTTAACCAATCCTCTATTATGCGAGGGCCTGTTTTGGTTTTGTTTGTGTTTTTGCTATTGTGGTTAAGGCGTTGCTATATTACTGGAGTCATCTATGGTGTTCTCTTATTCCTCTCGATCACACAAGGATCTTTGTAAGTTCTTTTTACCTTCCTGTCCATAGCAAGAGTACCGAGTCAGTGTTCTTGGCCTATAGGCAGGTTCTTTTTTTTTTTCACTACTTATTTCTTGTTCTGTGGTTCTTTTAGTTGTGGCTTGAATGTTGTGTCTTGAAAGTTTGGCTTGACCTAGCACCATTAAGTGTTTTAGGAATCCTGTCTATTGTTTTCTTGTCTTTCTGTTTTTGTTGTTGTTCCCGTCTTATATTGTGGTCTCTGTTGTGTGGCTAGATAATTAAGCTTGACCTAGCACCTCTGAGTGTTTTAGGAATTCTGCTGTTTGCTATCTAGTTCAATGTTGTTGTGGTTGTTTGTTTGGGTTCTTTCTCATGGCTGGTCCATCGGCTGTCATTGAGACTCAAGGGATGTCCCAAATCGTCAAACTAAATTTTGGAGATCTCTTGTATCGTCATTCTAGTGACACCAGTGGAACACCTATCTTAAACCTAAAGTTGAGTGGTACTGACAAGTATATGGGCTTGTACTATGACCTTGGCTCTTGAGACCAAGATCAAACTTGGATTTATTGATAGAACTCGTGTTAGACTTGATGACTCTCGTTCAAAAACAATGGGATAGATGTAATTCTATTGTGTTAAGTTGGATTTTGAGTTCTATAACTGAAGATTTGTTTTTGGGTCAAGTGTTTTCCAAAAACTCCTAAAGTTTGGGAAGAATTAAAAGAAACATATGACAAAGTTGATGGATCAGTTACATTTTATCTTTATCAAAAAATTAACTATTTAAATCAAAATGGGTCTTCGGTTTTTGAGTATTATCATAAACTAAATTCTCTGTGGAAACAGTTTGACGCTCTTATTACTCTTACCACCTGCACTTGTAATGCCTCTCAAGAGTTTTTTAATCACTCTCAGTTAATAAAGCTTATGCAGTTTTTAATAGGTATAATATCTATCAACCTATCAGGAGAAATATACTTTGAAGGAACCCTCTTCCCTCTATCAAAACTGCCTTTTCTCTTATATTTAGGGAAGAATCCCATCTTGGGGGTTCTAATGTGTCTTTTGGTAATAAAAGTCAAAACAAAGTTTTTTTAGCAAAGTTGGTGAAAATAAAAGAAGGACAGGTAGGCAACCTTCCAATTTACTTTGCAAACATTGTGGTATATCTGGTCATACTAT